CCTTAACCTCTTACCCCCTCTCTCTTTCCCACTCTCCCCTACCCATTCCCTTCTCCACCTCCTCTCCCTCTTTCTCCCCTTTCTCCCTCCTCTAACACCCTCCCCCTCCCTCACTTCTAACTTCCTCCCCCTTCCTCTAACCTCTTCCCCTCCTCCAACTCCCTCCTCTTACCACCACCTCCCCCCCCCCATACCCTGCCCATAGCCAGAACACAAGATCCAGTCATCAGAAGGAGCCCTCCAGCTGACCCTAGAGATGACCCCAAAGATGCTCAAACCCTTGGTCAAGGAGTGGGTGCCCCAAGCCTTCATCGTGTCTTTTAAGGTTGGTTGTTGTTGTTGGTGGTGTTGTTGTTTTTGTTGATGTTGTTGCTGTTGCTGCGTGCTTTTTTTATATATATAACAATGACACTGTCCAATTTGCCCACCTGTCTGTTTAAGACAACCACTTTTCTCCTAGACAATGGATAGCCGTCTTGAACAATTTCAACTACATAATTACAATCAAAGGCACAGAGTGTCTAAAAATAAAAAAGAGGACCCCATCTAACGGGCAATAACTTTCAATAAAATTTTGAACAAATCAATATGAAGCAAATCATTCCATGTGTTAAAAAAACTATAAAGTTTTTAAATTTCAATCAAAATTGGGTAAGACACAAACATTTACTTTTGCTGGTTCTTGGTGTCACGACAGGATCTGTGAAAACTGTGACTGTCAGCTGCATTAGTTGGATATATATCTCAATGTGATGAGAAAGTTTTGGAGAAAGGCTTGGTTCCAGTAGGATGGGGCCACACTTTACTTGTAAAACTGGCCTTTGCATGTTTGCAAGAAAGGTTTGAGAATCAAATTATTTAAAGCCAAAAGCTTAGAAATGCATATTCACCATATTCCATTGACTTGAAGAGTCTCAATTATTTTCTTTAGTTTTTTTTTTGGCAGAGTCCACAGAGACAACCCACTAATAATCAAACAGTTGAAAATCAATGTTGAACAGGATGTCTAAAGAATCAACCCAGAAACATGCCACAGGATTAATCAAAAGTTCCAGTGGTGTATTTTTGTTTGTTTTGGTATGGTACATCGCTTGCAACTGCATAAGGTAGTATGAGCACAGCTATACGATTGTTAAAATGCGCAGCGCAGTCTTTAGAACAACTGTTTTGTTGTTCGTCCTTTGTTTAAGAAGATGACCATGACTTTACAAGTTGATCTGTTGACGGTGACTGTGGGTCCAGAGATGGCAGATTAGGCCTCTCCGGGTTCGGAAAGTTTGCCCTCATCGTGGGCATGGGCAGTCTGCTATTGGACTTGTGGTTTGAAGTCATGACTTGCGCTTGACTTGGATTACCGTGAGTAGTGAGGGAGAGTTGCGCTGGTCGTCAGCCTCACCCTCTCGTCCCGGCCCATCTGTAGCCAGTGGCAGGACATAGTCGAGATGACTGGGGAAAGGTCAGGATGCAGTGGATGGTCAGCAGTGTATTTTGTGCCTCACTATGCCCTATGCTGCGCTCAACAGCGCTTTGCTGGGTCCGCCTTTCCACCCGTTAAACCCTAGGGATTTCCTTCTTGCAGTCCACCGGAGCCAGTCTTTGTGCACTAGGGGTAGACATTCCCCGTCCGAAGGCTCACTCATGTAGTTTAGCCGGTCAGCCAAAACCGGTGCCCGGGGTGTGGCCACTGCCGTACACTAGCAGTATCCATGGAGCCATACGTGAGCTAGGTGCAGAAGTGGGGACCAAGTAGGGTCATGACCATCTATACTATTTCAATAAATGTAGTACATTGTATGTTTCCTGCAGTGAGTCGACCAAGGCTCTGTCCCCTACTCTCTCTCTCTCTCTCTCGTCCGATTGTCCTACTGAAGGCCGTGATTGGCTGATTATATACACTTTGCGTGAACTATCCTACGTGGGATCCCCTCTCAGCATGAGATCTCCGTGTTCTCCTGCACGAGAACCCGCGCCCCGAGCAAATCTCGTTACTTGTCCACAACAAGTTAGGCTTGCAATAATTTATCAGCTTTTACGTGACCAAAACTGTGTCAATAGTTCTCTAAAACACCTACTCAATCAATTAATCAATCAATCAATCAATCTATGAATCAATCAGTCGATCAATTGGTTGGTCGGTCCGCCAATCAGTCGGTCGGTCAGCTAATCAATCAACCAGTAAATCAATCAATCAATCAATCATGTCTTCCGCAGCTGGAGACAAACCCATCCCTGCTGATGGAGAAGGCGAGGGGGGCTCTGCGGAGGTACCAGCACCAGGTAAGCCAGGATTATTGAATGGTGGGATGGTTAGAAGGTGTCACTGGAGATCCTACTTAATGTGTCCTTACTGTCTGTTTATTTCTGTCTGTTTGAGGAGGAAGGAGTGTGCTATTGGAAGCTCCTATTTCTTTCTTTCCCTGTTTTCTTTGCTTGAGTGGGTTGATCATTTTTTTTTGTTCTCTTCCTCTTTGGTTTTTGTCTGTGTAGGTGATTGGAGGCTGTCACGGTTTGGTCTTTTTTTTTTTTCTCTCCTTCTATTGTTTCTGTCTTTGTGGATAGTTGGAAGGTGTCACTGGCTCCCACTACTAGATCTCTCTCTCTCTCTCTGTCTCCCCCCCCTCTCTCTCTCTCTCTCTCCCCTCTCCCCCTCCCCCCCTCTCTCTATCTTTCATTCTCTCTCTCTCATTCTCTCTCTCTCTCTCTCTCTCCCTCTTTCCCCCCCTCTTTCTCTCTCCCTCCCCCCTCTCTCTCTCTCTCTCTCTCTCTCCCCCTCTCTCCCCCTCTCTCTCTCTCTCTCTCTCTCTCTCTCTCTCTCTCTCTCTCTCTCTCTCTCTGTGTATGTGTGTGTGTGTTGTGACTGTCTGACTTGATAATGCCACCACACCAGTATATCCTACTTCTTTTCTTTTCCTCGTTAATTTTTGTCTGTATGCCTGGTTGGAGGGTGCCAGTAAGGTCCTGCTTCTTTTCTTTTCCGCTGTTGTTTATATCTTTGTTGGTGGTTGGAGGGTGTCATTGGGAAGTCATACTTTTCTTTCCCTCTTTTGTTATTGTTTGTCGATCTTTCCTTTTCCCTTCTAATTGTCCGTAATTGTTTCAGTGCGATTCTCTTCTTTGCGAAAAATATACCCCCCCCCCCCCCAAATAAAAAAAATAAAACAGAATTCTGTTTTTAGAGGTGGAAAGGGGTATGTTTTTGTGCATGTCTATGTTTGTATGTATGTCTGTGTGTGTGTGTCTGTGTGTGTGTGTGTGTGTGTGTGTGTTTACGTGTGCATGTGCTTTTATATGTATGGTCAAATGTGTGTATGTGTGTGCATGTTATATGTGTGTGTGTATTTGTGTATATATGTGTATGTGTACATGTATGTATGTGCTGGTGTACTTGTGTTTGTGAATCGACCACTTACACTATATGCTTTAAGGGATGCTGAGACTTTCTGAGTATTTTGTGGTAACAATAGGTTCAATAGTGCATTGAGCTTACCATTAAGTGGGTATATGAGCTATAAATGCTGTTTATTCTTCTTCTTCTTTTACTTTTGCCATTTGAACTATGCAGTTGCCTTGATGACGGATTGTAATTATACATATAAACCTTTACATTTGATCTTTGCAAATGCTTTGATAATTCGTGATACGTAATCTTTAACCTTGACATTTGACCTTTGCAGATGTCTTGATGATTGGTGTTTTGTATACCTTTGACCTCTGCAGATGGTCATCGCCAACATTCTAGAAACGAGGAAAAGGGAAATCTTCATAGTGACCTTGAACTCAGAGGAGGAGATTCGACTCAGCGAAGCAGACATCCAGTCAGGGAGAGAGATTGAGGAGCCGCTGATTCAGAAACTGTCGGAGTTTCACTCGAATTTGCTGTCCTCGCAGCCTGCTACGTAAAGTAAATCGTTCTAAAAATAGCAGTTACTGGTTCCTGTTGGAGAAAGTGGTTGAGGGTCAAAGGATGACACAAATGGTGCCTTTTGAAGTGGTGACAATTATGTTGGACTCGAGTTCGATTTTTCTATATTGCTTTATTTCATTTAAGTTTGAAGCTTTTAATTAGAAATAGTTATAATAATTGGAAATTAATTAATTAGAAATTTAGACATAGTGGGCAGATGAGGCAAAGGGAGAAAAGGAATAACTCACAGAGAGAATTTGAATCGATCTGTGATGGGAAAAGACCAAGGGTTTTTGAGAGCATCTGAGCAGAGAAATAGTTGTATAGCGTACAGAGTATGCTTCAGAACGAGGATATGTGCTATATAAATGCGGTTATTATTATTATGATTATTAAGGAGGGATGGACCATGATCGCTGATATCTGTTTCAGTTTTGAAACTTGAAAAAGAAGGAAAAACTAGAAGTAGAAAAAGGAGTTGAGGATGGGGCAGAAGAAGAAAAAGAAGAATATGGAGAAAAAGATTGTAAAGCAATATCTAGATGGAGAAATAAAATGTATTTTAGTGATATGTTGGTTTAACGAGATAGATTGCTAAATTGAGTAATCATTCTGAGCTAGCTGTCACAGACAGGAAATGGACAGCACCATCAGTAGGGTTGGTATCATGCTGGACTACAATGTGGCGTGCCCTGGTTCAAATTCCTAAGTCGCAGCTCCTCTTGCAATCCACTTGGCTAATGCATTGATGATTGGTGATACATGAACCTTTATTGTTGTACTTCTTTTAAGTTGGAAGCTTGTAAACAAATGTGTGCAGCAAGGCACCATAATCAGTAACATATTGCATTTTGACAATATGACACTCATTGTCAGTTACCAGATCTGAAACAGACATCATGGTCGTGTTTCGTCATCTCATTTCTCTATCCAGATGCTCTCTAAAAGCCCCTTTATTAGTTCCCTGGTAGCTCTTCAAGTTAGTTCTTATTTTCATGGTCTACCCCTGCCTCTTTTGCCGTCTATTTTTTTCAATGAGAGAAAAGATTTCCTGGGATTGCGCCAGCTTGTGCAGTCAGGAATTTGAGAGCCTTATAACTTACACTACACTGAAAACCAGTTCCATTTGAATAATTTGATGTATTTTTGGTTTTTGTTATGTTATCTGATGTTGTAAGGTTTGGTGTCTGTGAGTAGGATTTAAAGACGTTGTCAAGTCTTGAGTCTGTGAACTCTTTTCCGTAGTGTAACATTTAGGTTCTTTGCTGTCTCACAGAGGGCTCAAGATTTCCATCTACAAGTAGGCAGGTTTTTTATTGAGTGTCTCAGTCTTTTTGCTGGAATGTTGTATTACTATCAGCCCTGGTTGGCCCTGACAGGCAGGGTTAGAAGGCTGCCTGCAAAGGGATTTAAATTGTGTCAATTGATTCGGAAAAACACCTACATTTAAAAATATGTTTCTTGAGTTGGTGTGAGTCTGTAGACTCTCAGGAGGGAGTGATTAGAATTTGTTTGTCCATCCAGGAAATGCATCTCACGATGGTAAAGTGTGGATGGTGGGAGCTGCGGGATGAGACTTGTCGCTACCATAGAATGACAAAGTTCTCTGTGATGTATTTGACCGTTTTGAGTTACTTAGACCATGAGGTCAGAAATCAAATGTTCTATCTGCTCTATCAAAATTGTAAAATTATTCAAAGTCGTTGTCAAGATATTTTTAGAATACATTTGAAAAAGCTTGACTTCTTGTGAAACTCAAAACTTTTGACGTCAAATTTCTCAAAACTAGGTACGCAGCAGACAGAACTTTGTAATTCTACCTTAGCATTGTGGTAGGGAATGAGACAACAATGTAAGGAATGAAAATCACTATCGTTGGCAGACTGGGAAATTGTTCTGAGCCCAGAGAGCAACATTTTTCAGGAGGGAGAAAAAATGTCCTTTCTTTGAACAGTTGTACTTCCCTGATTTATCCTTTCTTGTTTTGTCTTTGTAAAAAATGTCTAGAATTTTAATTTCAACAAACTTTTTCTTGAGCACAGCCAACTTATACTGCAGATTCAGAAACTTAAATGAATGAAAAGTTCTCTATTTTGGGCTAAGTACATCTGAACTGCTGGCCGACAATATAATTATTATCTTGAAATGGTGGATGGTGGTCCTTGTGTTGTGTGTGTGTGTGGGGGGGAGGGGCACTGAAGAAGCTTGAAAATATATTGATGGTATGGGCCATAGATGGGCCATCTTCTGGGATGTCTGTTTCACAGGAGAGACTGAACACTGTTCAACTATCGCACACCATCGAAAAACTATTTTATTAAGCTGTCACAGACAGTAACGATAATAATAGATAATATTTGTATAGCGCAAATTCCCTCTCAACAGCAAGCTCTATGCGCTTTACAATCCATATTATTACCCCAGCAGACCTGATAGCATTCTGAAACAATCTCAACTTCCAGGGAAGCATACAGTGCAAGCTGCCATTTTACAGGCTCTGAAACGCTAACAAACTGACATGATGTTTCGCTGCCTATGGCTGGGTACCCGTTCACACTTGGGTGAAGTGAGGAGAATTCATACAATACTAGTAAAGTACCTTCCTCAAGGACACAAAGTCGAGCCTGAGGCTCAAACCTCTGATTCCGCATCCTCACGGTTATGAGTCCGATAGCCTCATCACTGGACTGCCAACACCAGTATTTGATTAAACGATCGCAGACCACTTCAAAAACTGTTTCATCAAACTATCACTGTAAATATCGCAGACCGCTCAAATTTTATGTCAGCATTTCATACATAAATTTTCTGTTCTCTGAATTTCTGCACAATTTTTTCAGATGCTGTATTTGGCCCTGCAAACACCATAGTCGAATGTCAGGTTTTAGAATATGTTGAAGTTGGCCCATGTATTATACAAACAGTAGAGAGTCTGCTTTAAAAAGTCTGCAGGATCACTAGATTTTCTTCAGTTTTTTAAGTGGTCCCGCCATAATGAAACAGTTTTTGAAGTGCTCTTTGATATTTTAATGATTAATGAAGCAGTTTTTAAATTATCTGTGATAGTTTAATGAAACAATAAATGAAGAGATCTTTGATAGTTTAATGGAACACATTTTTGAAGTGGTCTTTGATATTTTAATGATTAATGAAGCAGTTTTTGAATTATCTATGATAGTTTAATGAAACAGTAGTTGAAGTGATCTGTGATAGTTTAAAGTAACAGTTTTTAGCCTCTCCAAAAACAGGCATCAGGCATCCTAGGAGATGGTCGATCTGCGGCCGACCCATCATCATGTCAACGTTTCGAACTTTTGCATACTGCCTGAAGTATATCATGTTAAACTGTGTTTAAATGAATTATATTCACAAATGTGGACCTAGTAGTAATCAGTGATATTCTGATATCCCGTCTTTCCTAAATGTTGAACAGTTGTTTCAATACCAGCTGTGAAATTGCTTGAATATTGATTTGACCCCTTCAATGACCTAATTGGGTTTAAAAGAGGTGTAAATCTGAACCAAAACCAAGAATCTTTCTACTCTCTTTCTGCTAATGAATTTCAGCTCTGTAATATTGGGATGTATGGTTGGCAGGTGCCATTAGTCTTTGAAAGGTTTTATCGCATTGTTGATGGAAAGGTTTTATTGCATTATTTGTTTGAAAGGTTTAATATTTTTCTAAAGAACTTTTTACCTTTTTTGTTTGGTGATTCATTAATATTATTATATGTAGATAATTACAACCTTATTGTGTGTAAATATAAGGATATTTTCTTGAATTATGTATAAAGAGGTTTTATTATCTTATTAATTTAAAGGTTTTGTTTCAGTATTAATTTGGAGATTAATTCTTACTTTTTACTTTTTTGAAGATCTTTTTTGCAGTTTTGTTTGAACATTTTACTGCACTACTTATTTGAAGTTTTCATTACATTATTCATTTGAAGGTTCTGTTACAACATTTTTAAAAGTTTTCTTTAAATTGCTACTGTAGAGCGTTTATTATATTTGTGCGTGCTTGAGAAAAGGGTCCACATGTGCAATTTTTTACTTTTGTAGTTAATTGCATTTCTATATAGAACAGCCTTCCTCGTGCCTCCTGGTTTTTTAATAATTTTTCAGATATCTCAAATCGTTTTACAGATATAGTCACGTTTGGAATAATGTAGAAAAATCAATGCTGCGAAATGGCTATGTATTTTTTTAAGTTTTTAAAAACATACTTAGAAGAAGAATTAGCGTGAAATATTTTGTGAGGATGGAGAAAAATGGTTGATGAGTTGAGGTCCTTACGAGTATCAAATACAGAAAAAATAAGTTTTTTCACTATTTTCCTAATTTTCTCTAAATAAGCCTGTGCGACATGGGGACTTTTTCCCAGTCACACTCACATATTACAAGGGACATCCAGAAAGTAAGTACCGTTTTAAAATAATTATAAAAGAAAAAATTGTCTCAATCAAAACGATTTATTTTTGAATACCTCATATAAATGACTACTTCTCCACGTAGTCATCCGAACTGTTCAGACATTTGTCGTAGCGTGGGACGAGCTTCTGAATGCCCTCATCGCAGAAAGCTGCCACCTGCGATGTCAGCCAATGTCGAGTCTTTCCTGTGAGATCAGCGTCTGAGTCGAAGTCCTGTCCGGCTAAAAACTTTTTCAAATGCAGGGATAGATGAAAGTCACTCGGAGCCAGGTCTGGGCTGTACGATGAGTGCTTCAACTGTGCCCATCCGAAGGAGGCAATCAGGTTTTGGGTCTGTGCAGACGTGTGAGGAGTTGCATTGTCGTGAAGCAGAACAATGCCGTCGCTAAGCATTCCACCTCTTTTGTTTTGAATCGCTCTACGCAGTTTTTTAAGTGTGTTGCAGTACACATCAGAGTTAATTGTCATCCCATTTCCCCAAAATTCTACGGAAAGAACTCCTTGCCTGTCCCAAAACACTGTACACATCATATGGCTGTTTTTCCTGACGCGGTCTACTTGAACTTTTCTGTTTTTGGCTGGGGCGAATCCGTATGCTTCCACTGCATCGACTGCTGCTTTGACTCGGGCGTGGAGTGGGGCAACCAGGTCTCATCCCCTGTCACAATATGAGTAAGAAAGTCATCTCTTTCGTCATTGTAACATGTCAGGAATGTCAATGCGCTGGCAGCCTGTTGATCCTTATGCACTTGTGTCAGCTGCTTCGGTACCCGGCGTGAGCACACCTTTCGATAACCCAAATGGTCAGTGACGATTTCATGCAGAAGCGACCTTGAAATCTCGGGAAAGTTTGAAGAGAGTGAGGAAAGGGTAAAACGCGTGTCTTCCTTTTCCTTAATGTCAACTTTGTTTATCAAATCATCACTGACCAAAGATGGACGCCCCCTCCTGGGTTCATCATTCACATTTTCTCGTCCCTCTTTGAACATTCGAACCCGTTTCCGCACCATGCTTTCGCCCATTGCATTTACACCATAAATTTCAGAAATCTGCGTATGAATGTCTCTAGGCTTCGTGATCTTTGCAGTCAGAAAACGAACAACAGACCGACTTTCACTGTCAGCATAATTTTCAATCTTAGAAGGCATGTTGAAGCTTCAAAAGGGTGTAGGATGTTTCATACAAAATGTGGCTGTGTAAAATGGCGGAGAAAACACTGGGTGAGATGTTTTACAAGCGCAGTAGATTCTTGTTTACAATGGCAAGATGGAAGCTGAGGGCTCTTTCCGGTTCAGTATTGAACACATCAACTCACTGTGGTGCAAAGTTGGGAATATCCTAACCCAATTCAGAGAGATGGGAAAACGGTTGGGTGAACCGGGGCAATTCCACCCACTACTTTGCTTAAATCACTCTCATGCACTACCTAATTGTGATATCTGACCAGAATTTGCAACAAATTATGCTCTTACTTAACATAACATTCAACATAAACATAACATTTGACAATTCTGACAAATCCTGTTCAACCCCCCAAAAATAGTAAACGCTTTAATCTGGGAAATTCCACCCACCTGCAAAATTCTGATCAAACATGTCCAACATACTTCAATGAATGACAAAACTTTCGAAAACATTTCTGTGGTTTCCTGCGTGTGTGTCACTACTATCACTGTCATCATTACCTCTGTCTTTCTGGCATCTTTGAGGCAGCCAGTCCTTGTCTCGACTATCGTCATCAATTTCAGACTCGGAGTCCACAACTGTTGTTTTCTTTGCCTTTGTTCTGGTGAGAACAGTAGGCCTACGTTTTCTTTTTCCTTTTCCCATTTTACTTTTCTTTCTCTCTTCCTCCTGCCTTGTCATTCTTTGAATATACCCAAAACTGGTCAAACTTTCGCCATACTGGCGTTTAACAGTTTTCTGGTTGTTGTTTTTTTTCTCTCTTGGCTTGTAAAATAAGGGACATTTTTTTCATTAAAAAGTCCTTTATGCTGGGTCTGGTTGCTGGTTCCACTGGGGTCACTGGCCTCGACAGTGCAGGTGTTGATGAGGTTGATGGCAAAGAGTAAGAGGATGGTGTAGTGGTGTCAGTAGGTTTGACTTTGTCGAACATTTCTACTGACTCGTACAGGGAGTGAGGCACAGCGTCGGGATTGAAAGGGAAAATCCCACATCTGGAGAAGCCAGCCTTGATGTTTGTTTCAGATAGGCAGCCAGATGTCCAGAGTTTTGAGGAGCGATGGGAAAAGATTCTTAGTTAGGTCTGTACCAAGGTTTTGCCTGGCAAGGGATATTAGGATGTTCTCCCATGCTGTCATAAGGGGACCATAGACCCCCCCACATCCAGAGGCTGAAGTGACCGTGTGTTTTTGCGGGGAAGCTTGAGTAAAATAACTGCTGCCTGAATGAGTAGCACACTTATGTGGGACTTGTGCCCATCAAATATTAGCATCACTGGTCTTTCATTTGGCCGAAAAGGGATGACAATTTTCTCAAACCAGTCAAGGAAACATATTGTGTCCACCCATCCCTTTTCACGTGTTGTGTCCTGGGTCCATCTTCCATCCAGGTAGGTCGTAAATTCTTGGCAGCATAAATAACATTTGGTGGCAACATTGTGCCTTCGGCAGATGCACATCCATTTACAGTTATTGAATCTCTACCCGACCCACCGATAACCCCAAACAGATGAGAAATGTTTTTTTTTCACAAATGACCCACAATCTCTTGGGATCCAGTGGCATCCCGGTCTCATCCACATTTTAAAAAAAAAATCGATCTTGGTTATTTATCTAGCCAAGAATAAGCTATTTTGTCAAAAGTATTTGTATATATATAAAGAATAATAGAAATGAAACCTCATCACATTGTGTTTGTTAACACAGGCGCCTATACATGTACTTATACTGCTGCTGAGGCCTACATTTTAATAAAAATTGAATTTAATTGGGAAATCAAAATAAAACAAAGCGATACACATGTAGAATGCATATTACTGGAAAGGCTAACTGGGATAAGCTGTTAAATCCATGGATTCTGGAATGCCTTAGGTTATAATTATTATTAGTACATCAAAGAACGAACAACAATAAAAAGAACAATAATACTAGACTCTATGACTATGAGTATGAGACCCCTTCAATAAAGTAGGCCTAATATTAATTTAGAGAAAAGCATAAAATTGAGAGGAAGAAAAACTTAACAATTTCTTTTCTTAGTGGTCACTAGATCTGTAATTTATAACTTTGTTGTCTATACTGTACAAGTGAATGTGAAGCCTGTGTGTCTGTTGTTGATGTTATAGTTATATGCCACTCTTAATATTATTATGTTGATTAAATTATCACATCATTCTTCACAAAAAGTATGATTCTATGACTTAAAAGATACTGTTTTTGCAGCTTTTGTAGCTCATGTTCTGAGCCACAATTAAGTTGCTGCTGGGATGGCATTTCTCTGTCAAGTAGATCTAAATGTGGTTCTGCCTGAGCACATATTATGGCCACATTCCTTTTCTTGGCAGGTTTGACAGTTTCTTCAAATGCTTTACTACAAATACAAACAAGTCATCTGCAATTTACAAGCATTGTATCAAACTCAAACCAACTTCATCCCACATTCAAATATAAATGATTCAAGCCCTTTTGATTCTGATAAAGGAAACTGAAAGGGTGATGTTTAGTACTATTCAGAGGGTGATGTTTAGTACTATTCAGCAACAAGCTAAATCAGGACTGTGTTGAAAACCTTTTCATATGTATCAGAGGAAAAAGCAGTCACAGAGAAAATCCTGCCCCGACCCTCAAGATTTTTGCACATGCTTTTCGCCTAATGATGGAAAATAAAGTCCTCTGATCAGTGCTGGTATGAACTGTCAAGATGACATTGATCACTTCCTTTCAGTTTTGCTTCCAGGAAGTAGCCTATACTCAAATATTGTACAACCTGTGCTCTTCGAATATTAAGTCCAAAAAGAGGAGCAGCCACCAATGACTAACCTCATCAAGTCACTGAAAGTAGATTGTACCTGGTGCGGTTTGAAAATGTTGTCACATACATCAGTGGGTACTTGCTTAGGAACGTGTCTCCAGTCATATGTGACAAGTGTAAGACTTTGAGAAAAAGGAAGACCTAGATCTAGATCTACATGACATGCCCCACAAAAATGAAGGGCTTGTAAAGCCTAGTATTAGTATATACTACCCGAGATGATCAATAAGTAGGCCTAGCAGCCTTGCATTGTAACCTATGTAAACTACCGCTCGCTCAGCGAGCCAATCACAATCCAACAATTTTGGGGTCCACCTAGACACCATGACTACGTAGACCCCAATTGGGGAGTACCTAGACACTTAATGTAAAACGTGTTTCGTCTCTCCAGTAAAAAAACAAACAAACCGCTCACAACCGACGCTACTGAGCGGGACGTGGGACCAGCCGCCGGTCGGACTATAATTTGTTGTTTACATACTACTTAACGATGGCGGGCCCCTCACTCTCTGCCTGCACACACTAAATGGTTCAAGGAACAGAGAGCGTGTACAAACGTAACGAGACACAAGCATGAGACTTAATGCTCTTGCACGACGGTTCCGTAGAGGGGTTGTGAATTATTCTGACCAATATGGGCGAGGGCGTTAAATCGTGTTAACTAGTTTAATAATTTCATTTTAAGCATTCCAAGCTCTTTCCTTCACTTTCGTTTTTTTTCTCTTTTATTCTTCTTGCCTCTTCTGTCCCTTTCTTTTTGAACATTTGGAGTTTGGAGCCAAAAAAGAGCCAGAGAGCCAAATGAAATTCTCCGGGCCAGACGCGATCCAAAAGAGCCAGATTTCTGGGATTTGGCCCAAATCTGACAACCCTGACTGTGGCTAGATCTTTGTCTATTCGGACACCAACACTGACCCTGTGGAGCCTCAGCCCCGGTAACCTTAGCCCTGATCCCTCTTGGGTCATTTCCGGTAAAACAAGGGAGGGTGTGAGAACAGCGAGACATAGGTTATTCTCACCCGGGGTGAGATATACTGTATAAATAAAGGAGATGAAACAGGAAAAGGAAGTCTAGGGGATGTAACTAAAAATCATGAGTGGTTAAACTTTCCTCAAATGACTTGCAGAGTTTTGTCCCTTAAAATTGCCCAAAGTGGATGGAATTACCCCGTGGATGGAATTACCCCGGTTCACCCAACTTACTTTGTGGACGTCCCTCTTTGAAGATCTTATTACTGTATCTGAAGATTTAATTGTAGGCTTTTGCTTATATTTGAAGGTTTTATTGTATTGTTCATTCTTTGCGTTTTACACTTGGTTATTTTATTTCATAGATTATATTGCCTTGCATGCCATTTTGTGGTAGGGTTTGGGTTTTTTTGTGTTTTTTTTTTGGAGGAGGGATGCGATTTTTTGTACACTGGCTAAGACTATTACTGAATTATTCCTAATTTGTGCAACTGTTGTGCCATAGATTTTTTTGCTGTACCAACATGTATTATGAACATTTTTTTCTTTCACATTTGCTCATATCAGTAGTTGCTGCACAACTGATCAAGAATTTGGTTTATGCATAGAGGTTTGGGCTCAAAACCACCTGGGGACCTCAAATCTTTCCACATTTTCTAGAAATAATTGTTTTTTATTGGGGGGGTTTTTCTTTCTGTGATGTAGTTGTTAGATTTTTTTGCTGCTGTTCACGAAGACATGGGTTCGATTTCCATGTGGGGAGGTTTTCTTTTATTGAGTATAATCTGTCTCTTTGCCTACAATTACATGTGGTATCCCTTTCAACACAGGCTGGTTGGCCCTGAAAGGTAGGGTAGAAGCAGTCCACTTCCTAATTGATCTGATTTGTATGGATGGGGGCATAAAACGCTTGCAACCAATCCAGCATGGTACTCTGATATACTGCTGTCGGCTGACAAAACGTCTTTTTATTCTCAGTAGTTTCGTGAAAAAGGGCATTTTGTCAGCATAGTGTAACCATTGAAGAAAAGGCATTCTTCCAAAATTGGAATTCTAATTTATAAAAAAACTGGTCTCAGTTTCACTTTGACTTTGAATTTTTCATACAAGAAGGTGACGGATCAGGCTATCGATTTGGCAGATAAAAAATATTTTGCGCCAAAAATGATTAAAGATATTTTGTAAG